CCTCCCCCCGGCGCTCCGGCCGGTCGGGGATTGCGGGCCCGCGGCCAGGCTCGGTGCCCTCCACTGCCGCGCTGGGCGGGGGGGGCAGCGGGGGGCTTTTTTGCCTAGGGCGGCAAAAATGCCAGAGCCGGCCCTGATTCTAATGCACTACTGGAAGACACTCCGCTACTATGGTGATGAGTGTGGTATAAAAAGAGATATAGAATTGAATGCTGTATGGCAATTCCTATTTTCCTATATAGGGATTCCCGAAGTGACAGATAAGGAAGTGTGTTATGTTCGTGGCACACAAACAGAGATGTTCTATAAAATACTCTTGCTGGAAAGTTGCAACATAACACTACTTTCTTTTTAAAATCCAGAACCTTACACACAAGAATCAAAAACAGAGAGAGACAAAGCAGGCTGTTCCCTTAAGCAGAGAGGCACAATCGAGCCACCTCCCTGTAGGCTGGGTCTTTCCAGACTGAATTCTCAAAACTCAGATTGCACATTTCCCTACAGAGCCCCCTAGCCTGAAAGGAGGACCAGAAAACCCCTTATTAACTGAAAGTGATTGCTTGTAATTTTGATAAAGTTTTCAATACATCACAATTGAAACCATGATTAACCAACTCTGCACATTATTGTACTACTTCTGTCAGCACAGTAGGCCAAAAAGGGACTTCTCTGCAGACTGACCCAGGTAATTAATATTTTACTCCAAGAACATATTCCTGTATTGAGTGAGCTGTTACAGATAGAGTTTTTTCAGTGAATTCAGAGAATGTTGATTTAAATGGAACTAAGATTATAGTCACCTCATATTTCTGGTTTTATATTAGAGAGTTAGCAATAGCCAAAAACATAATTAGTCATGCACAGCATATAATTCACATTGTGTCTTTCTATATTAAGGCATTATTGTAGTCTGGACAGCAATTTGACACAGCAAGTCTGTTGTCTCTACCTTACAAATGTATGAAATAAATGGGAGGAGGGATTTGCGGGACAGGGAGGAGAAGAATTGTTTTGTAAATTATATTTTACTCCTGAAGGATGAATAGGAATTAAAAGGATTCTGTTAACCTTGCAGATGAGCAGCACAAACTGGGATCCATTCATCACGAATGGTGTAAATTACCTTTGGCCGCTTCCATTCCACTCTTCCAGGGGGGCACCTGTTGTAGAAAAGGGATTCGTCCGATGCTGGAAACTCAGGATCTTCAAAGAGTCGTCCTTGTTTGATGCACTGCTGCTTGAGTTCATGATACTTCTGATCTTTGAACGATTTCACTGATGAAAACATAGTCCTCTGTGCAGCCTAGATTAAGATTAATAATTTGTGTAAATTTGGATTCCCCCCTCATCATGCTCTTAAAACAAACAGATTGCACAACCAGTAGTTCTAGGCAAAATGATAGACTGATGTCAGATAAAAGGTGGATTACAAATTAGATTAGGCTGGGGTTAGATCATGAAGTCTTAAAAGGATTTATCTTTTCGGATATTACACAGGCCCTAATTTTTGAGTCGGAGAGAACTCTGAGGATGCATCTCATCAGGAAGAATAATAAAGAAGATTCTGGACAGAGCAGGTGCATGGCACTTCCTTCTTTGCTCATGGTTCTAGGGTTCTTGGAAGGTAAACTCTGAACAGAGTGGGTGTGTGCTCCCAAGCTCAAGTACCTGGGAAGGTTTTGGTCTCCTTTCCATCTGGTGGGATTCAGAGTCAGAGGGTTTAAGGCCAGAAGGGGCCACCAGATCATCTATTCTGACCTTCTGTATATCACAGGTCACTAAACACCACCCAGCACCCGCACTTAACCCCAGCAACTGAAATGAAACCAAAATATTACAGCATACAGGAGACTAGATTATGATATGCTACAGGGAGGGACTAGGAGGGACAGAGGTGCCCCAAGCCACCACAGTGGCAGGGAGATGATTAAATAAAAGATACCCAGATAATGCTGGAAAGTGACCATACAAGACCATTCCAAGCAGACTGTGTTCCTAATCACCCCCTCCTCTCTCCAACAGCCAAGTAGAAAATGGGGCCCGCTAATTGTCTCCACTTCTATGCATGAATGGTGAAGACTAGAGGTGGGTGAAGACTGCAATACAATTTCCACAAGAAAGCTATTTGAATTTTTAAAGGAATATGCTTTGGCTGGTTTTGCTTTTTCAAGATATTGTAGTGAATTGATTTTCCTGACAGCAATGTTCACAGAAGCAGCAGGTATTTGAGAATCCTGGTGGAAAGTGAATAGGAAACTTGCTTTCTGTGTTTGCATTGATTCTAAGAGTTATGACTATGCAATCAGGTAATACAAACATGCCATGTGATTTAGGCGACCAATCACACAGCTCAAGTATTATACTTGCAGTAAACATGAATTATTAGCAGAAATTATTCAGGATTGTCTATGGCTTTTATAACATTTTGCACAGCTCCATTTTCTACATGGCCAGGCTGTTAGAGAGAGGATGGGGGGATTACGAACACATTCTGCTTGGAATGTCTTGTATGGCGAATCCTTGCCTCTTCTTTCCCTCATATTTTCAGGGCCACATCCTCCTCTTTCCCTGAAATGATCTGCAATAATAAAAATACTGTGACTGAAGTAGAGGACAGTGTGTGTGTAAAATATCCTTGTAGAGCATAAGAAGCAATAACATTATAGCAACAGGGCATGCAATTACAGTTAGAGCTGTGCAAATAACTGATTGGTTGGTTATGGGGCAAAAACGCAAAAGCCAAAAAAGTTTCATTTCAGGTTGAACAAGATGTTCTGCTTGACCTGAAACGTTTCGTTTCATTTAAGGTTTTCTTACCATTTTATGATTTTTAAAAATAAAATTGAAGCAAAAATTTTACATGAATAAACATTTTGAATTAAAAAAAAAAAAGCAAAACATTTTGACTTTTGGAATTTTTCTTTTTTTCCCCCCTAGCTGAAACCATTCCATGAATTTGATACGAGTTTGCAAGATGTGTTGATTGTCTCAAATATGCATTTTTCAGTGAACAAAATTTTCATCTGAAAAAGTTCACCCAGGTCTATTCAAAGTATCAGAATGATCTTCTTTAGGTGTTAGCACCATCACCCACTGGAGTGAAAGGAGCAATCTGATATCAGATGTGCATCCTCCATTGCTGCATTTATTTGCGCACGGACTGAAGCCAGAATTTGGCCCAAAGGTGTAACTAAGCATGGCAGATTTTCCTTTAGAGCCAAAATCTCTGATCTGTATTGATGTTAGTTAGTGTATGCGGAAAGGCGCAGCAGAGACTGGGTGACTACCCTGCACTAGAAAAGTGATAGTCCATGATCCTGTATTTCTTTTCCATTTCTAGTTCTCTTGGGCTAAATCCTGAAGTGCCTGCTTAATAAGTTCTCTGTCTTTACTCAGGCAAAAACCATTGACAACAAATGGGAGTTTTGCCCAAGTATAAAGACTTTGGGGAAAATTCTGGCCCCACTGAAGTCAATGGGCATATTTCAAATCCCTCCAGAATTAGACCTTTTACTACCTATGTGATTCAAAGAGGAAGATATTTCCTTATGTCAATACAAACAGCCTTTGAGCTCAACAGTATGTATACTGGCTGTTCAGGGGCGAAACAACTCAGTGCTACTGTATCATTCTAAACAGTTTCCCGTTTCTTAAAGGCAATTCTTTTCTCATTAATGATCCTGAAAGACGATATCCTGCTTGGCAGTTGGTCTCCAAAGACAAGGAATATTAAGTAGATTTGCTTCTTCCCCCCCAACCCCCGCCTGCTTCAAAGTCAAGTGCGGAATACTTCACCAATTAAAAAAAAAAGAGAGAGAGAAAGAGAGCTGAGAAAAATTAATTACTCTAATTTGAATGGAATACAGATTATTACCTCATGATAACACTCATTGACGTTCTCTCATTAAAAAGTCTCCACTGGCTGACTAAGATCCCAAACTACGAGTCTATTTGCAAGATATGCTTGTTTTTAAAATTGTTCCAGGGGGATAAGGTTTTCAACTTGTCATTGCATAATTCACAGAGCTAGGTTTTTAATGACTTTACCCATCCGTTCTCTTGGTGTGCTGTACTGGATGGGAATTCCAATCCTTTCAGGATTAAAATCCCCCCCAGCTACAACAAAACAGCTTATTTTGCAGCAATGTATAAAGGCGGTCATACAATAAAGAACATAATCTAACCAATATCTGCCTAGCCAGCTGGGTCTCCAGGGCAGCTGTGTTGGAAGGAGTCAGTTTTGCTAGTTATTAGGCATATTAGTGAGGAAGAATAGCCCAGGAGTTAGACTGCAAGCCCGAGATTTGGGAGTCCCTCGTTCAATTCTCTGCTCTGCTACAGGTGCCCTGTGTGGCCCGGGGCAAGTCATTTAGACCCAGATCCTAAAGGCACTTAGAAGTCTGGCTCCAACTGATTTCTGCTACTTCAGTGAGGGTAAAACATCCAACTTTGAGAGTATGTTCCCTAGCTGTACTTCCCTACCTTGCAGGGGCATTGTGTTGTCAGGATAACTATATTAAAGATAGTGAGGTGCTCAGATACTACTGTGACCAGGGGGAGGAAGGGAGGAAATAGATGATATTGCCATGGGTCGGAGGATGTTGTTTCAACAGCGTACCCCCTAGTCCCTTGGTTAGCTACTATAAAATATTTACATCTTACACTGCTGGCACTTACTGGACTTGCAAGCAAATACAGCAAGGCTAGGCAACCTCTCCTGAGTGCCTTGGACTAGGGCTCAGTATGCTGCCATGTGATGAGAAACATCACCTGTAGTAATGCCTGCTAATGAGTGGTCCTAAAAACATGTTACAACAATTTGAGAACCTCCTCAGCATTGCTATATAGGCTGGGATGCAGTAACTAAAGAAAGCAAGTCCTTCAGACAGAAAAATCCTGCAGGTCAATAGACTCTAGTAAAACTATCCCCTCTTTGACTTTATCAAGTTACAGAGGCACTCTTTACTTTTACATTCTTTAGACTCTCCAGCTAAGCTTCCAGACACAGGAATGTAAAGCCTCATTCACTCCCCTGCCCAGTACAACACAATCAAACGGCAGACCTGAAAGCTTATTCGGGGAGGTGCTGGGCACCCACAACTCCTGTTGAAACCAACTTGAATGGAGGATGTTCAGGACTTCTCAGGAACTAACATCAGGGTTGGAAGACTTTTTCTAAACTGTTCCTTTCCAGGAGATTTTGACTGGAATAAATTTATCAGCACAGACAGTGAAGGTAATCCAGGCAGTTCTCCTTTCTGATAAGCTCTTGCTCACATGGCCCATTCCTTATTTTAACTGCAAGAGAACAGTATTATTTGATCTTTACTTACAATGACTATCTAGCCACACTTCCCCAGCTGGAGCAAGCACAGAGCTAAATCACATTCAGCATAGCTGCAAATAGAGTCCTGGCACTATCAGTAGTTCTAAAATTAAAGGGCCATCAACCTGAAATCCAATCTGTGTAAGGAGACTTAAGAACAGTTTCAGGCACTATCCCTCTGAGTGCCCCTGCTGAGTTTTAAGGTTTTACAATAACTTTTTTTTTTTTAAAGTTTCTGTGCCCCAGTGCTGCGTGGAAGACTCATAACAGCAAAAACAGAAAGCTCACTAACTGGTCATGCAGGGAAAGCAGTCAGAATTATTATACACAAAGCGCTGTCAAATGCACACAGGAAACATGCTGAAAATAATGGAGAAAGATATTTCTTTGCTAATCTGCCAGTTTGGTGTTTCTGAAACATTCTAACCTACATGGGACTACTCAGTAAGAAGTGTGATTTTTAAATGATGTCCTTTAAGCACAGCTATCCACAACTAGTGTGTTTTGCTGTCTACAAGCATATCTTCTTTTTATAGCAGTGAGGTTACAGTGAAGTCACAAAGGCTGTTTTCACCTTCGTAAAAACAAGCACAAAGTTGCTTTTCAATTCTGCAGGCCAACATATCTCCGAGACGCTGCAGCAAGCGCTGCCTTCTAATCTGGATCTATCTTCAAAGAGAGGGGCCTGATTTAGTGGAAATGCATTTATTTCATTATACATCCAGACAGACAGTTCTGTACACAGAATTCACACACACAGGCTTTCACACAAAAGCCAACACAAAAAGGGAGAATTTTTAGCCACATATATATTGTATTTGTTCTGCAATTGTGCATGGATTTGGATAAGAGCTCTCTCTCCTTCCAACTGAATCCTGTAGTGAAGCCCACAGAAGACAGACTTAGGACAACATCCCTGTCTCAAAAATCTCTATTCCATGCTCCATTAAAGCTTTTTGAGATGACCTCCATGTACTTCCCTCATCTGGCTGGTGGAGGGGGCTTAGTTGGTAGGGATAGATATCTGAACAGCTTCTGTGCAGGGCTGCAGAACTTTTAAGGAGTTGGGCTAATGTAACTAGACCGCCAGTGCACCCAGATTTTAAATGAGTTCAATCATTTTTCACAGCCCAAGTCAAGATTTTCAGTTTGTTTCATCCACTCCCCACCCCCTTTTTAGCTATGTTGTGTAGCCTGCTAGATATTTTGTGCCAAAAAACTTTCTTTGTTCCTTTGACTACTCCTGTTTAAAAAACAAAGAATCTCGCAAGCAAAGTAAAAAGCCAGCTATTCGATTGAGATCAAACATACCCTTTTGGTATTTTAGTCAACATGCCTCTCTTCCTGGTAGCATGCACTCCAAGAACTCACTTCACAGGGACTAGACCAGCAAACTCGTTTTACAGCCAGACGCTTTAAATTACTGCAAGCTCTGAACTATTTCCCTGAAAGATTCCTAATGTAAAGAGGTTCCAGGAAACTAGGAGAAGAATTTTATAGTGCTTTGTTTCTATTTGCTCAGATTTAAGGGCTTTATAAAGTGATGGTTTTTCAAGTCTGTGCTAACAGCCTGGCTAAATTCAAAGCAGTTGTGAAATCTGTACTTCGCTCAGAACCATTTTGGAGAGAAACATTTTCATCTGGTTGCTGACTTGCCAAGTTATATTACATGATCTGAGTTCTGCTGGTAGCTAAATTGACCTGAAGCATTAGCCCTTCTCTTGTCCAGCAGTAAGTCACTCTGTTAGAAAGGAAAATTGAAAAGAAAATATGTGCTTAACTATTAGATAGCTTGGTATTTTATTAAGCATGTGAAGGTTTCTCTATTCAAAAACTAGCTTTTAGTTCAGTTGAAGAAATGTTCTAAGGAAAAGACACACGTGTGTAAGACTGTGTAACCAAATAAACCGAGAGGTGCCAAGCATTTTTAGTTGTACAGTTATGGCAGTCCTCTTGCTGTATGTCTACAAAGGGGAAAACTACCTACAGTATCTTGCCTTAAACTTTCTAGTGAGAATATTTGTCCTTTATCTGTATATTCAGACCAACTCGGGAAATACAGGAGAGGGATGGTACAGAGCAGACACGAGTACCAGGCCAGAGGTAATCAGATGGGACTGGCCATTACCCAGGGAAACAGCAACAACTGCTATTAGTAGACGGTGTCAGGGACTCTAGTGAAGTTTCCATATGCAGCCAGATTTAATTCTTACGGTGAAGAAGGACATGAGCACATGCATTTTCTGGCCCTGGGAGGTACCAAAGCTAGCAACGGCTCTGCCACAGCTACATTATGATGTTCTAATGAAGCTTTTCTTTTTGATCACACTATGACAATGTATGATTTCAAAAGGAATTATTTGGGGAAAGGTCTGTGGCCTGTCTTATACAGGTGGTCAGACTAGGTGATCACAATGGTCCTTCCTGGTCCTATTAATTTGCCCCTACACCGCCTACGGACTGGGAGCTAGGAGAGAGGAGGCTCCTGTTACAAAGAACACTATAGTTTGAAGGGTAACTGAAGCTTCCTGGCCCAAGTCCATCCTTGATGCGACTCCATCTGCTTCACTGAAGTTCTGCAAGAATGAATTGCACCCTATAGCTTGTTTTGTGGGTTATGTTGATGTGATACACCCTGTCTGAATAATTTTTTTAATGAACGGAGCAGGAGGGAATTTTTCAGTGGTGGGTGAAGCAATTCCTAAGGGCTAGACTCTGACTTGTACGACAAATATTATGATGTTCCTACACAGGCTACCGTAACTGGGGTTCAGTTCTGCAGCAATAAACAGGGCTGCTTGCCTGCTTATACCCTCCCTGGAGCAAGTGGATGGGGAGTAGATGGGGAATGGCTGGAGCCTTAGCTCTATGCCACTACTTGTTACTGTGGAGTGGGTAGTCATTTACTTCTGGGACTGGCCAGCAGTAAATTAATCTCTAGGCTCACGGTGAAAGCAGGGATGGAAATTTGAATCACACGTGTGCCAGGGAAGCACAAGCCCTCCCAGGGCTACTCCATGGGAGGTGGAGTTTATGCACAATCTCTTAGTCACAACCTAGCCATATACAAAGCTGGCAAACATTTGGAGACCCTTCTAGATGAAATGTGCTATAGAATTGCAGGAAAGTACAAAGGTGACCCTAGGCTGCATCTGTGCAACCCTATTATCTCTGGATTATGTCATCAGTTACAAATTTGTAAACTCACTTAATGTTAATGAGGTTACTCAAGTGCTTCAGGGCATGAGCTGAAGGTAACAGGGTTCCTCGGGTGTAGCTAAGCACCTCTATTACTGGTGATGATGCACAAGGTAGAAGGAAGCCAGCTGAACTCTCAGAGCCCAGACTGAGTTTTCAGGGCTGGCAGTTAGAAAACAAAACTTTGAATTTGCAAACCAAGTAAACTCCACACGTGCCAAAAAAGAGTTGGCGATTATGGAACTTTTTCAGTCACAGCCACTCCAAGTCAGTACAATACATGTACCTAGAGAAACACTTCTAGATTTGTCCAGTCCCTTCCCCCTCAGTTGCCCTGTAGAGGAAAAGTTTCTCATCACATAGCTGCCTGGGAAATATATGTTAACTGCTTTTCCCTCCATGTGTGAAGGAGTAGAAGGATCAAGAAGAGATGGATTCCGCAGAAGAGCCGTATTACTAGCTCAGAAGTCTAGCATTTCATCAAAAGTCAGGCACATTTTAGAAAAAGGATGGTGTTTGAACCAAAGCTACATTTATTGATGGGGAGTGGAAAGTACCAGCACATTTTCTGCTGTTCATGTACACATGCTGACGCACGGAATCCACTTACCATTGTATCCCTTCTAAGGAAAATGTGCTGCATCTGTTCTCAGGTATAGAGTACCTTCTTAAAAGGAATATGTACACCTATGATCATGTTTTGTGTATGCATTGGTGACCTTTTATCCATTTTAAAGCTACATCAGAATGTACACATAGTAGTAAATATTATAGGCATACATTTCCCCAAGTTTGAGTCTTAAGGAGATTATACAAGCATTTTTCTTGTCCTACTTCTCAAGTATTCAGAAAGTAGGAGCGTAGCATGCTAATTTCTGCTCATGAAAAAAATACAGCTGAGATACTTTGTATTTTTGCCTCCTTCTGCTTTCTCTGAAGCGGTGTAGCCCCAAACCACACCCAGTTTGGTGCCTTGCACATTATGTAGAATCCAACTCTATCAAATTATTCCTAACAACCTGTCCTTTAAATAGATCAGCATAGTAATTCCCTTTTTACAGATGGGAAAATTGAGGCATGAAGGTCCAGATACTTAAAAGTACCTTGGTGCCGAACTCTCATTGGTGTTTTTGAAAATCTCATTAGGCACTTTTCTGAATCTTTAGGTATCTAAATAGCTTTGAGGATCCGAGCCAAAGTGGCTAAGGGCCAGATTTTAAGGCATTTAATTGCCTAATGGGATTTTCAAAAGCACCAAAGAGGAGTTAGGTGCCTAATGGGATTTTCAAAAATACCTAGGTGCCTATCTCAATTTTAAGGTATCCAAATGCCTTTAAAAAGCTGCCCCTAAGTGATTTATCCAATGGTCATAAAACCAGTTAGTTATTATTCAAATTAATTCCAGAAACACAAGGTCAGAGCCTTAGACTACACTCTTGATTTGGAAAGAAAATAATTGAGCATGTTTGAATTATGCTATATTTGCAATTAACACTAGTGCAAGCCAGGATAGCATTAGGAATAAGTGTACAAACTAGAGAAAGTGTGCCAATAGAAATGTTTGTGGAATCCTTCTAGACATGTTCTCTGCTTGCAAATAAAGCAGGCAACTTTGTCTTCACAATTCCTAAAAAACCT